TCTCAGCAGGGAATAAAAAAATACCTATTTCCAAACTTCAACAATTGGAGTCTACAAATCTACGAATCAGTCATTATCCAATCATGCTACCCAATTTTAAGCATATAACGCTTCATCATACACACTGATCTCGTCTGTAATTTTCAACATTTCACGTGGATATGTGGTTTTGTATTGAACATCGCTAATCGCTACACATTATTTGAGCCGAAGATAAGCATGTCTCTAGGCATAGATTTTAAACAACGCTTTTATGATGTGTTGGATATCCATATGGAAGCACAGCATTGTACTCACATTTGATCAAACATCTTCAACGTATACAATACTTTGATTTATGCACTGAGAGAAGAATACAAATCATTAATTATTCGCAGCAATAAGATGTTCTTCTGAGTAAACAAATTTACTTTGCAGAATATGATAATATTGAAAACAACATGTGAAGTCTATCAATTACTTACTTTACCCTTGCAACCATTTACTTTGAATTCATGAACGTCTTTATCATTACTAGAAGTGCACATATTGGCTGTTTCACACCAAATACACGTTTTATTCGATGTTGTTGCGTCTTGACATGCTTCACTCGAATTGTATTTCGGACAATCTTCAGTCGAAAGAATGAGGTGATTGCACAACAAGTTATCAAACAAAAGACAAGTGAATTACAAAATATATGATTGAGAATAGGTCAATCAATCTGTGATATAGATTATCTTCCTACACCCACCACCCAGACACATGTTTCAAATATTATGCTGGATTGGCTATTCTACAAAACATATAACTGTAACTCGATGATATAATGGTGATTTCGGATTAAGGTAACTATTTCATTAACTGTGAATTTGTCATCACATTGCTCATCGCAAACTTTCAATGACATTCAAATTTCACGATAACATTTTGGCTTCGAATGAAAATACATCTATAACGAATGACATTTTATTCAACGATTATTGAACTCGATCTGAACATTGGATTGTGGAATGATTCTTCCAGTCGTAGTGAAGTTAGCTCAATATTCTAACACATGACGAACAGAAGAGTGTTTGTGATTACTCACCATACATATCAATGACAAGGAAAACACCTCCATACTATTTCATTCACATTTCAGGCCAACAACTACATACTGAATGAAACTAAGGTGAATATTCAACAATGAGTTTAGACGTGGGGATTTGATAGATCTTGATGAATGTTTGCATTCAGAAATGTACACACCATGTTGTCACCCGGTTCGGCAAAGTTCATTACATTTGGTTTCTAATAGATTTTGGGTTTCAATTATTGATATCAGTGTGATGATGGAAATATATCTTCTATACTGCTTCAACATATGAAAACTGGCAAATAACATCGTGAACACATTCACACTGACTACTTGGATATCCGTGAAAGAAAGTCAGTTGTATTCAGACAGGAAATTCCTTCATAATTATGTTAGTTCAATGAAAAAAACAAAGGAAAAGTGACATTGTTTTTCAATTCATCGCTGAAGCTTTTCTGGAAGAGATTTCAATTGAATTACTGTAATGGAATGTTTCAAACTATGTAATCAAATCATACCGTGTGTGCTGTTGGTTAGCATGTCACACTAGTTGGATCATAAACATGCATCAATAGTAAATAATATTTTATTCAACGAATATTCAAGTTAATCTGAACATTAGATTATGGAATGATTTTCTCAGTCGTAGTGATGTTATTTCAATGCTCTAACACATTACGAATCGAGAAGTATTTGTGATTAGTCACTATACATATTATTGAGAGAGGAAACACTTACCTAACATGAAAATCTTCAGTATTTTGGATTCTGTACAAGTATCTACTGGCTGTGGTATATCGAAATCTGAACACCTAACTTGTCTATACATTCAATTTATGAGTAGGATAAAGTAGAGGGTTTGGAAACTGAGATATCATTTCCAAGTCAACTACAATTTCACGGAATGTTGCCGCGATTTTAATAACTCAGGATAATTCAATATCACATGTAGCAAGTTGAAAAACTATGGACACTCCCAAGTCAATGCACAATCAGCTGACTGACATATATTATCTCATCTATCGTTTTGTAACATTATGTACGCTTAAGTGAATTTTATCCACGTGAGGACATGAAGGAAATCCGTCGTTCATCATTTTAGATAACCAACAGAGAATCTACTTATAGAATAGCGTAATTTGATACTAGTAGCCAAATTTCATTTAATTACTCACTGAAATCGCACATGAAATTTTCAATTTTTGGAAACAAAATTGATGCATTCAACTGTGAAAATAGTCATTTCTGATATAATAAGGTTCAACATACCTCCGAGAGCTTCATACTCCACTAGTGTTCCATTTTGGATCCATTTTCCGTGAACATGTATTTCAGTTTCTTTCCCATCTTGTGAAATAAATTTTACAGAGGAAAACAACTGTTATTTTGTTTAACGAGCGACTATTAAATAATGGGACCGACTTCTCTGAATATCCATGATAAAGATATTCACACACTATAGTTATATTACTCAGTATACCAGGTTAGGCATGCGTCAGCACACGTGGATTGTGAAATTCATTGATTACGAAATTCAACATATAAAATAGAAACAACACCAACAAGGATGACGGTTGTTCAAATAAAGACACAGATACTTCATTTCATTTCAGAAGGATTCAGTAGTTCGCTGTAAAAAACACTTGATCAAAGAACGTGGTTTTTTTCGGGACTAGTTTGCACCTTAATTTATTTTCATATACGATCCTAAAAGTTTGCTTCAAGATGTGTAAACACCTCATCCACGTTGAATCTTCAATAAACAGTAATGTTTGGACAATGAGTTTAACAGAAGCATTCAGATTTCATCTCACACGTTTTTCAACAACACTTCATTGACACTTCGACCAATCTGTTTCACATGAAACTACTGAATAATGTGGACTGTAAGAAAGATATATTAAATCACTATGATAGATTAAGGCAAATTTCTGTGTTGATATAAAGATTATTGAGTATAAATAGAATAGAAGACAAGGCTAACAGATGACTGTTCATGTAGGCCAGTGTGAATCAGAATATAAATAACTTCACTTACCTTCTTTTTCTCCACACTGAATATCACCGCTAAAGGCCGATCTCACGTACTTTCTCTTATTTGTCTCAGGAACCTGAAAAGTAGTAGTGGAAGTGTGAGTCAAGATCTGTCAAAACACAACAACCTATATCAGAACCAACCAATCAACGTTTGAAGGCATGTGTCGTCATCCACATTCCCGTATTCAAAGACAAAAAATCTTACTTACGGTAAGCATACTGATCTCCTCGGTTTCCTCAAACGTGAGGCGAGGAAATGTATAAGATGAAAATACGATTGAGCACAACTGCAATGTTGCTGCACGTGAATTTGTTATCATGTAGTAGAATTGTGTTGATGTGCTCACTTCCATTCATTACTGTTCATTTCCCAGGATAATTGTTTCCATCATATATCCCGAGTGCCTTGAAACAATCAAAACAATCAAAACAATCAAAACACATGAAATCTTTCATCTTACCAACATTTTCCAGTCATCCAACATCTTTTGTATTCCAAATGTATACATTACTAAATACTGACACTCAAACAACTACACACTGAGGATCGATCGTGAATTTTAGCAACTAATCTCTTAAAATAGTTAACATCGATCTTGTCGAACAGTTGAAATTCAGAAGACGTAGTAATGCTTGACAGAATATGACTGTGCCGGAAAGCACTCGAAGATACACTGGTTCCGCTTTATGGGTGCGAACACATCAGAATTTCTTTTTATAACATTTTACTTCCTATAACTCATAGTTTTAAGAAATTGCTATAATAATAGGGTCATATAGTCTATGTGCACATTGCAGAACGTTGATGTCCTTCTATCGTGTTCAACATATCTTGATGCACTCGACACTATTGATATGCACAAAATAAGAGAATAATCTTGAGTAGTTGAAGCAAAACTATCGTCCAACTTACGTTTTCATAATAGAAAGATATCTTCCCATTTGAACTTATCGTGGTGATTACCTTGAATGTAAGATCTGTAAACAGAAGACCATCGAAATGTACAATTTGTAGGATGAGTGGTGATCATGTCATTGTTAGATTTGATACTGTATGTGCCTATTCAAAAAGTAATCAAATTTAAGCAGAATTAACCGTGCTATTTCAAATGTTTTCCTCAGTTGAATTCGTGATAAATACAGTCTACTGAACGTCGTGTAAATGAAGCAAGCATGCATCCTTCAATATGAATGTTAGACGACTAGTTTCCTAAGCTGTATTAAAACCTCGTCTTCACGTCGAAATAATAAATCATCAAGCTTCCAATTAAGTCGGATAGTTAGGGAGGCATTGAAATTTGCTAAGCATTCTCTATAATTGCCAAGCAGAATATCCACACTTTGTACACATTACATGAGCTGTGGAGTGTTTGTGTACAAATAGAACATGGTAACTTAGTTGGTGATGCAACGCATTTGTTTATTAGTGTTCGATAACGATGGAAAATGAATAGTTTCAGATTATTCGTCTTGGTGATTTCTGAATTTGGAGTAATAACTTTTATGAATGACCGTGTGATGAGTAACACAAATTTACTTATTTCGGAATACAGACTTCTAACCAAGCAGCAATGAAGCCTGTTGACGAAGATGTATCTCTTCATTAGTTTATTTACAAGTGGAATTATATTATGATCTAATTTATCCATCCTGATCTATCTAGTACACATCAAAACTTGTATGTTCCTACTAATGTCAACTTCTTTTTCATTCCCAATCAAACTGTTTAAACAATCAATGGATTCCAGATTTACCTTTGCCATAATTTTCCTGAATCGTTCCACTTTAATACTTCTGCCAGTTTTTGGACGGAACTCAAATACGCAAAGTTAACAGAGAACGTGTGAGCAATTATGATGAATGTTAGTGAAAGTGTTAATATTTTACATTTGGTCAAATTGTCATTTTATAGATACATACCCTCATTAGAACTTTGCTTATGATAAGACTGTCTGATGGCTAATAATTCCTCTGAAATAATGAAAGAAAAAACAAATCGTGATTTTGTATATCTGCATAATGAATATCCGCCTCTTTCGATAAACACACATAATAATACAGAATGAGCTAAGACAAGTTTTGTCATCTTCCTTTCGAGAATTAAGTGATGCGGTTCAATCAAATGAGAGCTATAATTATCCTAGCTATTATACCAATGATATGATGAGGGTTTCGAACCAATTAACTGAGAAGAATGTTTTACTTCTGAAACGCTGGTTTAAAAAGCTTCTGGCTAACCAAGCGACCGACAATATCTATACAACAATACACATACTTATTGATTTTCTGAGATTCTGTTATCACAATGTAACAGTGTTCTAACAACTGAACTAACCATTACGCAGCAATGTTACACCAATATCATTAATTCCCATAACTGAACATCGAAATGAATGAATTTCATATTGATGCTCAGGGTGTTCTAGTTAGAATTATTCATATTGTACGAACAGACTGTTCACGGTCGTTCGTTGGATGGATGCTTGTGGAAGATAATAAGTTCAAATTTCATGATCATGGGCATGTGATAAGTAGGAAACTGTTGAACATTGGACGGTGCTCAGACAGTGACTCAAAAACATTGTCATATTGATGAGATATCTGCTACATGGTAGTTTAAAGAGACCGTAAACTGTTACTTTCACTTCAGCAATTTTGTCAATCGACGTATTATTTCTACTCAATAAATTTGTATTTATTTTGTAGTGAATCGCTGTTTTATTTAACGTTTTCACTTGTCAGTAATGGATACATGTTGTGAACACATTTTAGAGCATCAAATCACACAAACAAAATAATCCGTGTGTACTTGCCCGCTCTCATAAAATAATCAGGTTAAATATCGAGTTATGTGTGCAAAATAAAAGTGTTAATTAAAAAAAGAAAATAAAACATCACGGATAAACTCACTTCCCTTTGAAATCTGAAAGACGTTCACCGAACTTCTTGTGAAAACATTGTCAATTTGTCCTATGACGCTTCCTTTGTTCATTACTATCGAACCTATGTTTATCGAACGAAAACATGAGACTTCATTAATAATCTGTGGTGAATTATTGACATTCTTTGAAAATAACTGAAAACTGAAATGAACCGCATAAACTGTAATTAATCAACTGTAAGGCGTCAAACTGTTTACAACTAGAACAAAATAAAATATCAGTAGAACTTCAGAATGTTAGAAAAGCATAAAACTGATTTACTAAAGAAATTAAAGCAACTTTGATTTATGTATATATAAAATTCAATAACAGGATTCTTGCAGCTCTTCAGATAATTAAAATAACAAACAGTGCCACTCGATACGAAAAAGAGAATTCAGCGAAGAACATTTTCTTTTCAACGAAATCATTAACTTCAGCTGTAATTTCGTAAATATAGTTATATGGAAAATGTATAGAATAAATACGATTGCATCATGAAGTGGATCCAAGACTAAATAACAAATGAGGTTACATATTAATCAAGGGGTAAAGAGGAAATCAATTTATGTGTCAGACAATAGTCCAATTGACAGATATTTTCTGAGAAAATGATGGTCTCACCTTGTCTGTCTATGAAGAGCGATGTGACGTCAGTACCGTAAAATTTAATCGCGAACTCTGGAACGACAATCTGAAGATTTGCAAACATATGGATTGGTATCTCGATTGCAAAATGTGGTTAACTCACCTGATTAGTAGCCAATTTCTCGAAATCGTCACTTAAAACTGGAAGAGGCTGATTAAGACGTGTTAGCTGGGAGTAGTAATAATAATGAGACTGAATGTGTGAATTGGAACCTGACTGAATACTTACATATTCATAAGAATTATCCCCAAAAATCACTTTCTTATAATCCTCAAATTCAAATTTTGTGCAAATTTCATGGCAGTCGATAAATTTCGAAACCAAGAAGATGACCGAGCAGACGAGTATCAATTGACCAGATGAAAGAGTATATCTAAAATGATTCAGATAAATAATCATGCCTTATTTCATTGAAGCAAATTATAATGTATGTAATACAAACATTTGCCTTATCTGTACAGTCAACACTCACCTCATTTTCTTCTTCAAAACGTTAATAATTGTTGATAAATCTGTCGAGTTTATATAGATTTTTTAAGTGTTCATTTGGTTCTATCTGATTCGATGACTTAAATTAACCATTAGGACTATCAAGTGCAGTAAAACCATGTGATCATTGTTAACCAATCATCAAGGTATGTCAACTCATCGTTGTGCAATATTCTTCTAGCTATTGAGGTATATAGGCTGAAATTCTAAAGCCAGTATTGATGAAAAAACTATTTTGAATATAACTAGCTACACTTCAGTCTAAGTGATTGGCTTATTAGTAGTTCAAAATACTTGCTCATATTTTCATGAACAAACATTTCGTTGCTTGTATTATTCTGTGAATTGATTGCCAATGGTGCATTCTTTTAATTTGATTGGTTAATATCAAATTAGCAAAGTCAGTTTTCATTGGATGTCTAAATTTACAATTTAGCATCTGAATGTTATTTCAATATAACAAATTCTGTCAGACGATTGCAACATTGTTGAATGTGGAATTGCACCTTCTGAACAAAGCCAGATCAGTTCAATTTGATCGCCATATTGTACCACTGGCTGTTAGTAGACGTTGTGATGAAAGTAGATAAAGTTTGTAATGCGGACCACGCAGAAGTGGAACTGAATGTGTTTATTAATTAAGATCTAAGTGATCAATGATTGTAATGAAAGAAACACAATGCATTTCATTTAAAGTAAAGTGTTAAAAATGGAATGGACTTCTCCATCCACACACAGATTTGTAATTCCATTAGTGATTGCTTAACCTGAAAGCTAATAAATATGTTAATACACAGTAGGAAGACTGATATCTATTTTGGTATTTCAATGAAATATTCCCATATATCTATTGATTTTGTTTAATTGTCATGTGTATCCAAACGTACAAGTAAATCTATGTGATAAGACAATGTCTATGGTGTTTTGACTCTACGCAAAACGTAATCAGCCGATTATTGGCGAATAAATAATAGTTCACATTATTGTAAATGAAAAACAATTTCAGCGACATAAGCCAAGACTATTTGTGCTTTTGTTATATCTGCAAAATGTAAATCTTGATAATGTGAAGGTAAATCGTGCGCTTCAAAATGATGTCGAGATTGACCATGATAGGCCCCTCCAGAAACCATGTTGTTCCATGGATGAAAGATTGTGCCCTTTAAAATAGTTCATAACAGATAATCGAATGAAGTTTTTCATCAGTTTTACAACTGCTCTAGTTAATCTAACAGTCCCATAGTTAATAACTAGATCCTCATTCCCAGTCCTATACACCGGACTTATTATCGCGTCTTTCCAGTCTCAAATAATGCCTACTTTCATGTCTACATACACATCAGATATGTGACGCCACATTACCGGTGGATCGTTAGCGAATATGTTCATCTTATCTATTCGTTTACCAGCATAACGGCATGTTGCATCATCCAATACTCATAAACAGTACTGTATTGCTGTGATTCATATTCTGCTCCCACAACACTCCACAGCAGAACATCGAGTTTAAAGCTAGTCTCTCAAGGATCCACTTGTTCCTTACAACCAAATGAGTTTCACTCCCCTGTCATGAACAATCGTATGTACTATTATTTTTGTCATGCATTAGTACGGTTTCGTACCAAATGAGGTCGCGTGCATATCACTCAAACGACATAAATCACTACAAGCTTCACGACCATTAATGAATACGACTTCGCATATCTTGCCTCTATAGTCACTATTCTGCTCCTCTGTTAATTCATCTAATTCATATTCGACGATAACTCGATGCATCTATTTATGATGCGAATTCTCATTTAACTATTATTATCAAGTGCAGTACAGCAACGAACATCACACATCATTGCAATTATCATTTTACGGCAGGATTATTTTTATCCCACATAAACTCCATGTTTGTGAATTCAAATACAATAATTGCTAATCGACGCTACCCACTCTACTATTACTTATTAGAACATCTTCATACTTCACGATCCTCCATGCTCATATTCAGTCGCTACAACAGACAAATTCCCGTTATATTCTACCTCACTTATTTTCATGATTGATTCCGCCGGTATAACCATAAGTGATTTATTATTCTGTTTTCACGCTATTTCAAATTTCTCACATGAACATGTTATTTTATCTGTTGTACAGTCACGAGATAAAGCGATGTTAATTTTTGGTACACTTAATAAATTCCTCATAATCTCATGCCAATATTTCAGTTGTTGTCCCGGTCTATCAGACACTCTTGTGACTTTTCACACAGTAAGGACAACTTCACATAATACACTCATCACACACATGAAAAAATAAAGAACAAGTTACTTTCGCAACAAACTCACGGTGAAAAACATCTATCACTTGAGTGTCTTTTTCTAAAACAGCTATTTTCGAAATAAATGTGATGTTTTACAAAAGGCTATGAGGTTAAAGTGGTCATTTTATAGCGTATTCAACATCAAAGCGGCGAGCAGGTCGACAAAAATGATCGAAATTATTGATGTAAAAATGAAAGGCCACTAAAGCAGGACAATGAAGATGGTTGCACACACATGCAAATGGTGTTTTTCAACGGCACGGCCTATTTCATTCGACCGATTTTCCGTCATTCGACTCATGATGCACACGCATATAAAGGGTGTGCATTTAGTAATAGTAATCAAAATATTGTGAATTCTATCAGATTCACCAGGCTGAATACAAAATTAAATGAAAGCCACCGTCCAGAAGATACAGGTGTTCATTAACAGTTGTCTAGGCAAAATACTTCGGATCCGTTCGCCAGCCAGTATCAGCAACAACCTACTGTGGGAGAGAACAAACCAGATCCCACAGGAGGAAGGAATCAGGAAGAAGCGCTGGAAATCGATAAGACACACATTGAGGAAAGCATCGAACTGCGTCACAAGGCAGGCCCTCACACGGAATCCTCAAGGCTAAAGGAGGAGAGGAACACCAAAGAACACATTACGCCGAGAAATGGAAATAAACATGAGAGGAATGAACAAAATTTGGATAGAACTAGGAAGGAAGGCCCAGGACAGAGTGAGTTGGGGAATGCTGGTAGGCAGCTTATGCTTCATTGGGAGTAACAGGTATAAGTAAATAAGTCATCACAAATAGGTGAATCATTAGAACGAGCGATGTTTGGTGCAGTAACTTGAGAAGTCCAACAAGAAGTTCACCGAGTAGAAACATTGCCTCACAATCATTTCGAGTGTAATTAAAGGATGGACTGCTATATGACTGTATACTACTTTTTGAAATCGTGAATAACGATCAATGATCATTGTAAGCACTCAGTATAATAGAATCAGAATTACAAAGCTTATTGTTACTTGCAAAGAAAAGGATAGTAGTTTTACAAACTGCCTGTACGTGTCCAATTTTATCATATTTAAAGCATCTAGCATTACAAAATACATGCGAATCACATGACTGAAATTTGGACCCATTCACAGTAGGCTTCTTTACCAATCGATGTCAAGTAATGAGCCACAATAATAATGTACTCATCATCTTCTATATTTTCTATTATATATAGTGGGCGTAATATGAATCTTACTTAGAATAAGAAGAAAACCGCTTTCTCATCATAAGTTGTTTATTTCACTGATGATCAGCCACACATACAGAAAACAGATGGGTGAAATTCTCATTTCACAAAAGATTCCCACTTTTCTGAAAAGAAAATGAATTGAAAACAAATCTTTTGCTTCAGCTATGAATAAACACTGTAACCACTCAACATCTAATTTCAAATGAGTTTTGTGGTCGTTCTCTCATAAAATCATCTAGTTTCCACGTTCGTACAACTACGCTTAGTTTGTTCTTCTTGTTTTATTCAAACTCAACGATTCATTGAAATATCAATCAGTTGACTTATGATACTTGGCAATATCAGGCTATCCTTGCAGACAGGATGAACATATGCCAATAAGACAGATAGATCAATCACAATACTCAACATTAATGGGAAGATTCAAACAACCAATACCAAAAAGAAATAATTGTGATTGTAGTGATCTATTTAGTTTTGATGATGATGATGATGATGATGATGATGATAATGATGATGATGATGATGATGATGATGATGATGATGATGATGATGATGATGATGATGATGATGATGATGATGATGATGATGATGATGATGATGATGATGATGATGATGATGATGATGATGATGATGATGATGATGATGATGATGATGATGATGATGATGATGATGATGATGATGATGATGATGATGATGATGATGATGATGATGATGATGATGATGATGATGATGATGATGATGATGATGATGATGATGATGATGATGATGATGATGATGATGATGATGATGATGATGATGATGATGATGATGATGATGATGATGATGATGATGATGATGATGATGATGATGATGATGATGATGATGATGATGATGATGATGATGATGATGATGATGATGATGATGATGATGATGATGATGATGATGATGATGATGATGATGATGATGATGATGATGATGATGATGATGATGATGATGATGATGATGATGATGATGATGATGATGATGATGATGATCTTGATGATTTCGTAAATTGATGTTGGTGAGTATGAAAGTTAATTGTTCAGCCAAAGAGAATTCACGCGGCAGTATGTAACACCAATCAGAAGTGTAATGCCTGGCAGCAGAAGATTAAGAGGATCAAATTGAAGCGAACAGGAATGTAAACAAAGAGCAATTGTAATAGCTATTGAATTGAAAGTCATGAAGCATGAGGAAGACAACTAAAAGAAGATGTGCAAGTACTTTATTTTATTTATTGTTTTCATGTTATAAGGAGGCACTCCCTAGATTCGCATTAAATAATTAATTGGTCTGCTCCACCTGAATTCTTCGTTCACTACACACAGTCTAATATTGTGTCAACTTTCATGATTATGACTGTTATTTACTAAATCGATAAGTAGTCTAACGCATATTTGTGTATTTTCAAGAGTGAACTATTCTGTAAGAAGTATAATGTACATTAAGCTGAAGGAATTTTGTATGCCTTCCATGTATAATCCAATTATTTTTTGTTCTAGCTAGATCTTGCACTTTCAGATGTATTCATTCTAATGGTAACTATTTGATTTCCGGTTGTTTTCCTTGGCACTTTCTTCAACTTGTCTACTTTTATTCAAATTAAATTTGATGCTTTGCTTTGAGATGATGGTGGAGAGAAATAAGAATTAGATTATTAAGTCCATTTGACATTGCTCAAAAGTCCAAAACATCTTCACAGTTATTAATATCCAATTCAAAATTCATAATGATAAGGGAATACATGCCAAGAACTATTTACAAATTACAGCATCTATGAGATAAACAACAGTGATTCATGCGAATACAACTATAACAACACAACTATAGACGAAGATCTGACTGAGGAAACGTCGAAATAAAACAAGAATAAAAGCGGACACGTTTTTAATATTGGTGATACATTGGGTTACTTAGACACTTGTCGAACGATAATTGCATGTGACTGTCTAAGAAATTACATGTATTTTTAAGGAATAAGACATACATCACAAGGGCCTTAGTGTTCTACGAATCATTTATGTATAAATGAGTATAAATACGTCCTCGATGCTGTTCTATCAATAAACTCTGTTTCCTCTCTCAGTCTTTTCAATCGAGTAATTCGGTTGGGCTGGTTTGTAGGAAGACTTCAAACTAACATCAGCTTTCGGGTACTGCATCTCATAACAGTCTGAATTTCATGTCATACAATAATCAGTAAGTAGATTGGAATTAACTGAGTTCAAAATGTCAGTGGGAAAATGATCAGTAACGACAAGGTCACATATCAAGTGAGTAAGGGAAGTGATTAATATCAATATGCCATCTCAATAACAGCACATAATTATAGGCAATAAACCGTACTCGAATCATTTGTTGACAGATTAATTCATCATTAGGCACTCCCAGAAAATACCTTGTCGATAAACTTTTCTTAAATTTATCAGGAGGATGTTTAATTTTTAAGTGCAATTCACTTAGAGGAAATTAAATGAAAGTCTTGTATTCTTTTATTCTTTTTTGTTTGAGGTATTAATGTTGAAGTGTTGTGGTCTCCTCGCTGTCCGATGTGTTTAGCTGCCACACATCCTGTATTATATGAGAAGGAACTTCGTAAACCGTTGTGACTAGAAAGCGCCGTATTGATCACAATAAACAAAATTATTTCCTCATGAACTTACCTAGGAAGACAATGAAAGTCTCAGAATTAGACCATTTCAGTTGCAAACAGGCAACATCTCAGTGAAGTGTCCACTTTATTGGTTGATTGGAATAGCCCTGTAAAGTTTAGTTATTTTGAAGAGAATAAGCTGTAGTTTTGCCTTTTTTCACCCACCTGATGAATGAACTTCCCTCATGATTGTAAGTTTTGCGTTTTCTTTGATAAGTGGACACTGACTGAAACTCCTTTTCTCATTTGTTGTTTACTTTCAATGTACATACAACAAAAACAACAACATTTCATGGATTTCGGCAGTATTGCCAATAGCGAACATTTACGTCAACATCGACGTAGTTGTATGGCATTACCGCCAACACCATCATCTTTATTCAATGTAAAAGCACCGATACGTTTAATCGGTGGAATGGATGATTGGAATTTGCCTAGTTGTTTTGATGATTCGGAATAACTAATTTATGATTAAGAGAAAGGAGAAGACAATGAGAATTGTTTTATACATCAAAGATATTTAATGGAAATATTCGATTTGTGAACGATTTACAATGACAATCACTCCTTCATTTACTTATTCTCAGCTTCATTGTGATACTTTCGTATCACAGTTTTAATTAAAGGAACTTCCATTTACAGTGGAAACTGCTTCCGAGTTTTTACTGTTAGTATTCAAATGATGAGATTGATTCTCTACAATTGTATTGTACTATTTATCAATGTTATATGCATGCAAAACCTGACGCTGTTTAGCTGAGGATAATCACTGATCTTTCTGTATTCCGTTGAGGTTGCCTTCCAAGAAATTTTAACATTCAGTCGCAAAATCTCGTCAATAGTTTTGGTACAGCAATGTGCATTCGCAAATAATGGTGTGTGTATCGCACTGGTTTTTAACTTTCACCATATCCATAGTTACGGAACCAGTGATTACTCCTCTTACCTCACCGAAACGATTGCCATTTCTGTGTTCATCTCCTCGGAAATCAGTTGGTAAATCTAAGAAGTTTAACATCACATTTTTCGTCTTTTATGGGAAGCACGACGCCAATTTCTACCTCCTATCTATAAATAATTGTGCTTAAAGCAATAAGTCCCCTTTATAAATTTTGAAGGAGCAATGAGAAAACGGAGGTTATCTCAAAATGTGATGTGTTTGCGCTATACATTTCGAACAATCTGGTCACACATATATTTGTCAGGGCATTTTATACGAAATTAATAAACGTAGATCGAATGAAACTTTAAGTAAAAAAGGTAACAAACAGAAGATAAATAATTCTACATAGTATGGAAAAAATAAGACATTTTTGCGTTATCCTAGGCCATAGAATGACTTAAGGACTACGAATGTAAATTCAAGGTTACGACAAATTGTTTTTGTACATATAAGGGAGGTCTAGATTTACGAATAGATAAGACTTCAATAAACCTTAGAGTTCGTTCTTGACAATTATTGAAGCCTTTAATTCTTATGAGCCCTTCGTTAGGATCGGTCACCTTTTTCACGTCATGGATCATTTATCACAGCTATGGCTTATTCTATATCATTCCTTTTTGTGGATATGTTTGGCTATCGTGTGTCATATGTTTCCAACATATTTGTTAGCTGCATGTTCACCGAAAAACCTGCAAACGTCTGTGTAAATTGGTGGTCTAGCAACACGTGCACGCGCAGAAATCTGCACGCTGATAATGGCGTAATCGAAACTACCTCAAATGTGGAAACAGTCAGCAACTCTGTCATTCACATGAACTAGTAGTCATACTTACGGTAGTAAGAAATTAAGTTCTCAATACGCAACATATTTTTGTTCTTCACAGCAGCAATCATCATTTTCATACTTGTTCAACGACAGTCTGTATCGAATTTCAGTCATGTTCTGTCTATTCAAACATCCTTTCCTTATTGTCTACATACATATCCGATATTTAACACCATATTACTAGCCGATCAGTAATGAATATGTTCATTTTATGTATTTGTTCACATGTATAATAGCATGCTGCACCATTCATTACTCATAGACATAGTTCGATCACTGTAATTACTAATCTATTCCCGCCACACTCTATAGCAGAAAATACAGTTTAGTGCTAGTCTCTCAAGTATACAGACATGCTCCACACACCTAAGTCATTTTCTCTCGTCTGTCATAAACAATGATATGTATAGATATTTTTCTCATGCCTTACTACGATTTGACAACAAATGAGGTCATGTGTATATCGCTCAAATGACATAAACCATTCTGGGCTTCAAAACCGAAAATGAATATGACTCCTCAAATCTCATTGCTGTAGTCACTATTCTGCTCTGCTGGTCGTTCTTACAATACACTCAACAAGAACTTGATACCATTTGTTTACGACACAAACAACAAAGCACATTGAAATCTAATTTAACTAATATCATCAATTGCAGTACAGCAGTGAATATCATCCATCAATGCAGTTATCATTTTACGGCTTCATTATTTTTATCCTACATAAGCGCCATGTGTGTGAATTGGAATACACTAATCGCTAATCGGCTCTACTAACTATACTTAGACTTATTAGAACATTTTCATATTTTACGGTCCTTTATTTTCATATTCAGTCGGCACCACAGACCAAGTTGTCATCCTCTACCTCATTTTTTTACCGATTTTCCAGCTGTCATATCTCTTAGCGGTTTATTACTCTATTTTCATGACATTTCGATCCCTCTATCAGACTATCACGAACAAGGAGGATCTGATGCAAATGTAAAGGCAAGCACATGTTGCATTTCTACAAACGAAAAACATATGGGACTCAAGACAACTGTCAACTAACATCAAAGTGAGAATTTTCAATACGAACGTCAAGACAGCCCAACAATACGCAACTAAAACGTAGAGATCATCAAAAGTTTGCAAGTATTTATAAACAGTTGTTTTTGCAAGATGCTCAACATCCTATGGTCGTATCTCATCAGCAACAGTCTACTATAGAAGACGACAAATCAAATTCCAGCTGAAGGAGAAATTAAAGGAAGACGTTGGAAGTGGATGGGACAAATATTACAGAAATCACCAAACTGCATCACGAGACAAGCCGCAACTTGGAATCCTGAAAGCAAGTGGAAAAAAATTGGGGTCGAAGAAGGCACTACGCCGGGAAAGGGAAGCAGATATGAAATGGATGAATAGCAACTGCGAAGAACTAAAAGGATTGCCCAGAACAGGGAGCAGCCTAAGCTCCTCCGCGAAGGATAATAGGCGTAAGTAAGTAAGTACGTTTAGTGAGTGAGTGAGTGAGTGAGTGAGTGAGTGAGTGAGTGAGTGAGTGAGTGAGTGAGTGAGTGAGTGAGTGAGTGAGTGAGTGAGTGAGTGAGTGAGTGAGTGAGTGAGTGAGTGAGTGAGTGAGTGAGTGAGTGAGTGAGTGAGTGAGTGAGTGAGTGAGTGAGTGAGTGAGTGAGTGAGTGAGTGAGTGAGTGAGTGAGTGAGTGAGTGAGTGAGTGAGTGAGTGAGTGAGTGAGTGAGTGAGTGAGTGAGTGAGTGAGTGAGTGAGTGAGTGAGTGAGTGAGTGAGTGAGTGAGTGAGTGAGTGAGTGAGTGAGTGAGTGAGTGAGTGAGTGAGTGAGTGAGTGAGTGAGTGAGTGAGTGAGTGAGTGAGTGAGTGAGTGAGTGAGTGAGTGAGTGAGTGAGTGAGTGAGTGAGTGAGTGAGTGAGTGAGTGAGTGAGTGAGTGAGTGAGTGAGTGAGTGAGTGAGTGAGTGAGAGTGAGAAGCGCCTCCGGGTGGGCGTCTAGTAATTTGCCCATAATAGCATGCCATCACTATCACTGTCGATATAATTTTACGATATTCATGTATTTCTTTCTTTACATGAGTATGATACTTTTATAAAATAAACACACTCCACAAAAGACAGTTTACTCCATCAGATAAAATACAAATATTTTTGCTACATATTGATAACGTTAACCACATACTACTTCTGCGTTATCTTCGAAAACAGATTTACGTTCAACAAAAGTACTATTTTATACAACGGTGTTATGTGGTGGCAGTTGCTGTGTTAAGCACACATACCTTATTCACCATTAAAGTGGTAAGCACATCGACGAAGTCAACAGATATAATTGTAATTAAAAAAACAAGACGCTGAAGCACAACCACGAAAATGGCTGCACACAGTAGGAAATGAAATTTTTCAAAAGGAAGATGTGATTAGTTCGATCGATTTTATTATTTTTTCGCAAAATGGGGAAAACGCATATTAACGGTGTACATTTAGAAATAGGATTCAACAAAATGACAATTCTATCCGATTCACCAGACTGAATCTAACATTAAATCAAGTTCTATCAATTTTGTCACTTCCTATAGTATTTACAAAGTAAAGATTATTATTCTCTAATCTCAGTGCAAATTATCTGACGATTTTCTTAACAGAAACATATTTCTGTTGGCCTCAGTTGTTCACAGAAATATCAGTAACTATAATTTGTTGTTGTCTATCACCACTATCCATCTTATTGATCAAATAATATGGTATTCCATATTCTTTATTATGTATAATGGACGTAAAGTAAATGTTAATTAGAATAAGAAAACATCGCTTTCTAATATACGTTGTGTCTATTTGACTGACATTCCTCTACACACACAGAGTAAGTATAAGTGACACTGTCATTCTACAAAAGATCACTACTTCTCTAAAAGTACAATGAAAATCGATATTTTGTATGTCAATTCAACTATTAATAAACACTATAAGAAGTTACCATCTAATTTCAACTGAGTTTCGTGGGTCTTTTTCATCAAACTATCTAGTTTACACGTCCTTAGTTTATCAATCTATGTAACACCCATTCAAAATCCCGGTTCCTTGAGACTCGACTAGTTATTTCGTTCCATGTATATTGATCAATGAGACTATGATGGATCATGCTAATTGTAGTCTCTATACCGTTTAATAATAATTGAACTAAGAGAGCATTTTAGGAAATTGGTAAACATATAAGATGCAGCGTCTGCGAACTGATATTGGATTTCGGTTTTCTTACTAATGTAGACTGTGATTCACATGAAACTATGTGTTGACTAAGCGATTCACGTATATTTTGACTAACGTCCTTTCACATATCATTCATTTATTGTTGACTGGACTTCATCCTGTATCATTAAACATTGAATGGCGAGCGATAATCTCGTTCATTAAACGTATTGACAGATTTGTCTATAAGTTCCTGTGAAGACATTCTACTGTTGACAAAATGAATGTTTGTTTTGAATGTTGATTTAGCTTGGATATCTTCCTTAAGCGGAAGTGATCGGCTTTCATGTGAGGTCGAATATTTCTTGACATATCGTATGGTGTTGAAATTTCTGTTCATTTTTCAACGGGAACGAAATATGTTTTTTGTAAAGAAACATTCGTAGTTGAATATTTAGATAGCATGTCTGGTGTGCCCTGTCTCAACAATTT